AGAGCTTATGAAAAATTAATTGAATATAGGAAATATTTGGAACAAATAGAAAAGTTAAAAGAATATCGTATAAGATAATAATTCTCAAATATCCAACAACTAAAGATACAGGACTTAACTTGCAAAATATTTTCATTACGGGCAATACAGACATTCTAGAAAGGAATAGTAGCTGCCACGTCATTCTGTCAAGTGATTCTGTCAAACACTTCTGTACGAATAGCACAACCCTTCAAAATTTTGTGGTTGGCTTGCCCACCAGCTCGCTGTGGGGCAAGTCTGTTATGGAATAGTTTGTCACGCCACATTATTTTTATATTTTATTTTAAACCTTACTGAATTTTTTTTTTCACCTTGTGGGTGACCCGTGAGCCAACCCATACGACTGGTCGAATAGGAAAATGCCTACTCAGCTTGTCCCACGAAGATGACCCAAGTCGGTGACTGGCTCGATCAATTTGACATCCCTATAATTAGATGAGTTAATTTAATGCGGAGTGACTAATCAAGGATTAATTAGTTGGACAAAAATAATTCAAATATTGTCAACATCAATCCCCGAAAGAGATAATTTTTATTCTATATGGCGGTGTAATACTGTTGGAAATTCACTTAATCATGCACAACGAAAAATAAAAGAGATATCAATTTACATCTACTTTTGTGTTCAGATAGAAATTGTAATAGAAAATTATAAATTTGAAGAATTCCTTGAAGAACAATTTTGATCTATAATCTACAACTGTTCAATTGTCTAACTTCTAGTGAAAATCCACACAGAGAACAAGATTGAGAGAACTAAGGTTTTTCTTTTCTCGTGCTAGAAAATCCCCCTTGTGGTTTACATAAACGGCCGTGTGTTCGTTCTCAGATCGCCTGCAAATCCGCCCTTTCATAATTTTGTAAGCTCTCTTGTCGAGAAGGCAAACGTAATAGCAATTTCAGTTGATTATAGACTTGCCCTTGAAAATCCTCTTCCAATTGCATTTGATGATTCATGGGAAGCATTTCAATGGCTGATATCACATGTCAATGGCAAAGGATCAGATCAATGGATAAATGAATATGCCTATTTTGGCCGGGTTTTCTTGGGTGGAGAGAGTGCCGGAGCCAATATTGCAAACGATGTAGCAATCGGTGCTGGGGAAAATAAACTTCAAGGAGCTGAAATTGTTGTGCTTTTTTTGATTCATCCATTTTTCGGTGGCAAGGAAGAAGATAAACTGTACAAAAAAGAGCCATCATGTGAACGTGACACCAACAGAAAATTGCTAAGGGACTACTCACACCAAGTCAAAGTTTCATTTTAATGAAGCCCTGACTAGTAGTTATTATTTTATGTTTTTTTAGAAAATACTTCAATACTCCACGTTAAGGAGTATTGAAAATGGTGGTCGCGGTGAAGGTTGGGTTACCACCAGAAGAGAATCTCAGGCACAGCGTTGAGGTGTGCAGTGCGGTGGTAAGTGTAGCCCAGCCAAGCCAAGCCCATATTGACATCTCACTAGTTATATAATCTCTGACCCTGGAAGTGCGGTGTTGTTTAATTTGTGACCAATCATTTTGTTATATGTGACCGTGAAAGAATATGTGACCAATTAGTTTGAAAATCCGTGACTATGTGACATATAAATTTTGAAATTTGTGATCGATGAATTAATTGTGACTTACAAATTTTTTTTCATGTGGCCATTAAAAAATCTGTGACCAACTAATTTGAAAATATGTGACCTGCAAATAAACAGTGAACAAGTTATAATCGAGTGACCATTTGAAATTAAATTGTGACCATTAACAAGAAATTTGAGCCATATGCAAAAAAAAACCCATGTGACCTACACTGTGACCATTTGAAATTAACATGCGAATATAAATAAAAAAAAGAAAAAAAATGAGCAATGTGCAAAATATTCTATAACCTATGTTGTGACCATTTGAAATAAACATGTGACTATCAACAAAAACTTGAGCCATGTGCAAAAATATTATATGACCTGTGTTGTGGCCATTTGAAAATAACATGTGACTATGAACAAAATCCTGAGCTGCGTACAATATATTCTGTGACTTGTGCTGTGACCATTTGAAAATAACTCGTAACTATTAACTAAAATGTGAAACATGAGCCTTATCATGTTATCAATCATTATAAATAAACAATCATGAGTTGTGACTTGTGACCTGGGCTGTGACCATACAAAAGGTAAGCCGTGACCATCAAATGCGAACGATGTGCTGATAGTGGTCACAACTGTACAAAAAAACCATGTCAACTGTCCAAAAAAAAATATGGCGGAGTTGTCGCCGGAATATTCGTCGGAGTTGGAACAATTGACGGAATCGGAGCAATTGTCGGAAATGGTCATCGAAATAGTCGCCGGAATCGGAGCAGTCGCTGGTACGGTTGCCGGAATAATCTTCAGAACGGTCGCCGGACGATTGTCGGAGCGACAGGGGTGGTGGAGATGGAGTGGCTTAATTATATTTTATATATATCTTTATATCCTTTTATATATTTATATATATAAATAAAAAAATATATAAATATATATGTATGTATATGTCAAATATCTTATTTTTGAAATTTAAAAATTATTTTCTTATTTTTGAAATAGTGTATACTTTAAAGTAGGATTTATGAATTTTTCCCTTAATCCAATTAATTAAATTTGGTCCATAAATTAATTAATCCAATTAACAAGTAACTCAATTAATTAATTGTCCAACNTCTTATTTTATTAATCTAATTAATTAAATTTGGTCCATAAATTAATTAATTCTGGTATATTAACATGCTACCAGTTTAATTAATTGTCCAACACTTGTTAGTTAATTATTTGTGAATCTCATTTTTCTAGTTCTCCTTTTCTGTGTAACTTGTTAGATTTTCGATTATGATGACTAACGATATGAATTATTATTTTGATCTAATAAAAATTGATAAATTAAATTACCCATTTTAATTTATCACCAATTCACACCCGTCCTCCTAAATTGAAATCTAGCAATGTGTCAGGTTAATACAAGTGACGAAAAATGTCACGTGGTATGACAAAATTAAATTTGTTGGTTTATTGTGAAATTATAATTCTTTCGTCAATATGATTCAATCAATTACGAGATATGAATATGTGTCAATCTCAATTATCGATTATATCTTTCATTCCACTTTTAAGTCCATATAAATCGAAAACTTTTTTCGACTTATGAACACACCTTGGTTAAGGATTTCGTTATCAACTTAACTGAATGAAATGTAAATCACATTCTCTTACTATCTAAGAGTGATGAATCCTCTATTGATAATTCATAACTTTCATATGATTCTTGACATACCCGAACGATATCGTGTATTAGTAATTCTTGATAGAACAACATCCAACATCACCAAACTATGATTGTCCCCATACAAGGCACTATGATGACCTCAAGTCAAATGATCAATTCAATTACTAAACGTCAGAGATTAACCATTGACACTTAGATAGTTATCTACGTGGAATCTCTCCGGCGGTGGGCAATGTTTTGTTCTATAACAAAACATTCACGTGTTTATTTAAGTGTCATCTTTAAGTGTCATCACACCTTAACTTGTGAGATCAACTACTTACTTCACAAGTAAAAAATGCCACACGTGATGGTTTATCCGTAATAACGATATACGTAGCTCGTTATTATTTATGACCATAATGATTTAGGATTCGATCATATGTAATTTGTATCTCACGGTCACAATTTTTTGTGATTAACAAATTACTAAGAGTTGGATTTACGGATTCTATTATTTAATTTAATGAAATATAAATCGATTAAATAATAGATCTGCAATATATAGAATGCATCAATTATATACTAAAATTATTTTTGTTCAAAATTGATTGAACTTAAGGCATAACGCTTACAAATACGACATATGAAATGTAATACACACACACACACACACACACACACACACACACACACACACATATATATATATATATATAAAGATGAAAACATAGACCAATTTATAAGAGTTTGTGATACTCCGCTTAAAAAGGTTGATATTTTGTGATGGAACCCAAAATCTTAACATGGTATCAGAGTCCGTTAAACTCTAACGATCAATTCGATCCTATTAAGACTAAAAAAAATTGAGCGAACGGATTTCAAAATTGGTATGCTCAAACGAGCCACCATCTTGTAGGGTATGTTAAGGAACATAATTTCATATCGAATAAAGATGAAAATATAGAGCAATTTATAAGAATTTGGGTTATTCCTCTTAATAAGGTTGAATAAAGATGAAAATATAGACCAATTTATAAGGGTTTGGATTACTCTTCTTAATAAGGTTCACATTTTAAGATAGAACCCCAAATTTTAATATGGTATCAGAGCCCATCAAGGTTCAACAAGCAATTCGTTCCGATTAAAACTCAAAAAAAATTGAGTATACGGATTTCAAGATTGGTCCGCTCAAACAAGTCACCATCTTCTGGTGGCATGTTAAGGGATAAAATTCTATATCGAAAAAAGATGAAAACATAGACCAATTTATAAGAGTTTGGACTACTCTTCTTAATATGGTTGACCTTTTAAGATGGATCCCAAATCTTAACATGATATTCCAAGAAGAAGTTTAGGATTTGAAAAATTGGGTTAATCTTTCCAGATTCTGTTGCTCGAATTGAGTAAATATATGATTTTCTAGAAATATCAAATTTTCAACTTCAGCACACAACTAAAGTCTAGGAAACTAATAATGAATATCCATAAAGTAGTGCTATCATTTGTCACTAAAATGAATTATGTAATCTTATATTGCAGTTGGGCATGGCCAGTGGATTGGAAACTCTCTATGAACAAGCCTATGGAGCAAAACAGTATCACATGCTTGGGATATATCTTCAACGAGCATGAGTTGCTTTGTTTGTAACCTCAACTCTACTTACGCCAATATATTATTTTGCGAGTCCCATTTTAAAAGCTTTAGGCCAAGATGAAAGCATTGTAGAAGTGACCGGAACTCATGGGTTTTGACAGTCAAGTACAAGTTCGGGATTACTAGTGCTATGGTATCTACTCTTTTGGCATACTGGATCCCTAATGCGGGTCGGCTAATATTTGTTCTCTCTGGAAGGTGTCCGGAAACATGGAAAGGTTTTTCGTCTTTAGCTTCCAAGGATCTTTGACCGATAATCAAGCTTTCTTTATCGTCTGCTGCAATGATCTGGTTAGGCTTATAACTTATTTCATTTACTTGAAGGTTAATTTATGGCCAAATTACAGTTCTATAAGCATAATGACTTGCCAATTTAAATGGTCTTCAGGCATGCTACCTAGCTCCACAAGGGCATGATTTTGTTTATATATAAAGGGATAATACATTGTTACGACAGTGTATATATCTTTCATATTGTTCACGAAATTCAGCATATATCGTGTTTTTAAACACCTTTTTGTAATATTCCCTAAAAGAAATCAAGGATTTTGGAGGAGAAACTATTAGGATTTCCAACATGCAATTTTTTTTTATCATAAATTCCGGATTCTTTGACAGTCTTGAACTCTAGTACAACTCAATACTGATTCTTTTGACCGAAAATCTGAAAAATGCTGAGGTTGCAATTGATGCTCGTTCTATATGGTAACACTTTTTTCCTCGTTCTTTAATTTCCTTCTCGACCTAGCATCATATAAGAATGAAAGTGCACTCTTTTTTTCTCAGTATTAACATCAATGGTTGGGAAATGATGATCGCTCTTGGTTTCTTGGGTGCAGCAAGGTACTATAATTGTCCTTATTTTCCTCAAAAGCCACAAAGTTATCTGAGCTTGTTTATATTGCATATTGATCTTGCCACTTTTAACGTATCGTCAATTATTATATTTTAGCATTCGTGTCTCAAATGAGCTTGGAAGTGGGAAGTCTAAAGCTGCAAAGTTTTCAATCATTGTGACAGTGTCAACATCTTTAGCCATTGGACTAGTTCTATTTGTATTTTTCCCGTTCTTCCATGGACATCTAGCTTACATCTTCACTAAAAGTCAAGAAGTGGCCAAGGCTGTCGCTCATTTGTCACCTCTCCAGGCATTTTCCATACTCTTGAACAGTGTCCAACCAGTTCTTTCCGGTAACATTATATTTGATGGTTCATTATATCATTTGAATTTATTCATTAGGAAGAGAAACTTCTGTTCAATATGCTTATAACAACTTGCTACAAATAATTTTTCCTTCCTACAATAGGTGTTGCCATCGGGGATGGACAGCAGAGCAGAGTAGCATACGTTAACATAGGATCCTATTACATAATAGGAATCCTTGTTGGAGTTGTGCTTGGTTATATTATCAAACTACAAGTTGAAGTGAGTTTTCAGGCACCAACCGGCTTGAATTTTTTTTTTTTTTTCATTTTATGATCCGTTTAAGTTTTTCTTACTTTTTATGATTGTGTTTGAGATATGGTGTTTGGATTGGAATGTTAATTGGCACGCTCGTCCAAACTATCATAATCTTAATATTAACTTCCAGAACTAATTGGGATGACCAGGTAATTACGATTTGTCGACCTTCCCATTTTTGGCTGTTGTTTTTAAAAAATTTGATTCCTTTAGTATGGAGATCGAACTGCTAACTATGATATGATATTGCAAATACGATTCAAGTGTTTTTTTGTTGCAGATATCCATTGCTCGTAGACGAGTTGATAGATGGTTTGTGGAAGCTGAAACTGATACAAATTCAGTCAACCGTTTGGTGAAAAAATTTCCCCCTCGCAGTTGTTTCCCATATGGGATGTGTTTCATAAAAAAGACACAGAATGAAGCCCAAACATGGGAGATAATGCAGATTGTACCTCAATGCACAAAAGCAGTCTAATGGCACACACTTGTCAACGCGTCTCCAAGAAAACAAGCACAAACAAGTTATGTGTTTGATGAAAATTTATGATCCATAAGTTTGTATGATCCACTTGGATACAAATAAGTAGATTTGGACTAATTTAAATGAAATTATAAGAGCATCTTCAATGTCTTATTTGAATTGCTAGCTAGGTGACATGTAATTAAGTGGACGACTTCTAATTTGCATTAGCATCTAATTAATAGATGGTTAACTTCAAATTTTATCTCCAAATTCTAACAGTTCTGTTTATAACTCAATTTTCATTTTAAATGTAAATGAGAAAGAAAAATAATAAACATGAGAAAGAGCTTAAATTTTGCTCGACTCCTCCCACTAATAGAACCTCTACGTCTAGAGTTCTTCTTTAAAATGTCCAACATTGTCTATTTTACTTATGTAGCAATTTTTTGCTATATCTCACAAGCCAAATGGAGCATGTATGAACTTGTCAGATCCTTCTTCTATTCTTTCCTTTGGTGCAGTTGGTCCATCTTGAACTTGAATTGAGATCTTGACCATGAAGTAAATCATTCTACTTACGGTCCAACCAATTGGGAATGAATAACTTTGATAAGAAGAAAAAAGAAGGCGTTAAAAGACATCTTGTCCAACCCTCGACACTCTAAGACCCGTTTTCAAACCTTCTCCCACTCGAGTCAAAAGATAAATAATTGGACACATCCCATTGCACTTATCAAAGGCATTCATAGTGACTGTGGGAATCAAAGAACAAGAAGTCAGTTATTTATATCAAGCATTCTTCTTATAGTTATATTCAAACTCCTGGTCCATAAGGAAAGGCTTCCTTTCGGGAAAGGAGGACTACGGAAATACCATTGATTTCAGCTTTCTCCAAACCTCTGGTAAAAGCATGAAGAGAAAGTCCGAATGGTACGATCCCTTTATGACCCCATGATGAAAGAGGTGATCTCATAGTACTTAGTATTTGAAGATGCGTTATTAGGTGCTCTATCTTCTTTTTTTCAATTGAAGCCGAACCTAAATCTGTATCTTTAGACGCAAAACATGAAAAAAATTTCACGTGATGTATTTAAATCATAGCCAACCACGTAATATTTGCACAAAGGTAAGAGTATATCTTGATTCATAATGATTAATCATTGCAATTTTTTACTGTATATGTATACAGAATGTCAAAGGTGCATGGTGCAGTGATTTCTCGTAACCATAATAATAAGTTAAAAAAAGTTCTAAATATTTGAATAGGCATTGATGGACAAAATATGTAGTTGCATCCAAAGATTGAACATTTGTATGATTGGAAATTAAAGTTCATCTTAGAAAACGTTTACATTAAGATCTTGGAAGAAGAAAAGGGTGGCAAGAAATCGAATAAAGGTTATCGTGCTTATAGCATGTTATAAATTAGAGAGAAAAGAATTGAGAGTCAACAATGAAGTGTTATTTTATTACACACACGTGTGTTTGTGTGTGTGTGTGTGGTTCCAATGGAAGCTACAAGTTGATCAAGATAAAAACTACTAAAATAAGTAAGACATATTTAGGTATGATAAATAATCAAAATTGTCCTATGACTTTATAATACTGTTTTAATTTTAAAATATGTAATTTATATAAATTTTAGAATTTCGGTTTATAATTTAAAAAAAATGAAAAATTTAAAGTTGATCTAAATTATTTACCACAAGAATGAACTAAAAATAATCTAATCCATAAACTTGTGATGCCAAATTTTTGCATATTTAATATTATGATAATATTAATATAATATTTTGATATTAACATAGTATGAAAGCCAAAAGTATTAAAAAAAATTTGCTATTAAAATTTATATCCAGCAATACAAAATATTTAATGAATTTTCAATTAATTTTATTAAATTATTCTAAAACATATACAAATCAGTTACCAAAAGTAATCTGCTACCAAGGGGGAATTTGTTCTTGAAAGTAATCAAAAGTTGTTAAAAATAATGGGGAGGTGTAATGGTCTATGCAATTTTCATCAACTCAATGTCTCAACCTCAACCTCATGGAAGGTTGATGTGATTTGCCCTTTGATTTTTGTTTTGGATCAAAAAAAATTTTTTTTTTGACTATTGACAAATAAATTTAATTGCTTATGATAAGTGTATTTTATACACTTATTTAGGCCACAAAATATGGATATTTATTTGATAAACTATATTGGAATTTGACTTAATTCTATATAAATTGTGTTTTATAGTATAACATGAATGAATATGGTGGAATTGAAGAAAACAAGCAAAAAATGACCAAAATGGAGGAAAACCAAGTTCAAGGACCAAACTGTCAATATCCGTAAAAAGAAATGAAGATGTGAAAGAGTCAAAAAGCAATTGAGTGAAAGAATAAAGTCTTAGAAGAAGAAGAAGAAGAAGAAGAAGAAGTGGACAAATAGATCAAAGGACGAGAAAATGGAGTTCAGGGACTAAATTGCAAATCTGAAATTTTATAAACGGCTATTTCATAAATGCGATCGCATTAGGTGACGCAGGGATTCTAAGAGCCCAAAGTTCTTAAGCTATGATGTCACACTAGGTAACCTTATGCGATCGCACAGACAATACGCAGAGGAAAAATTCCTGATTTCCTTGTACGACTCCAACTCTTATGGAAACGATCTTTGCGACATCTTTTAAAAACTTAAAGCTGCCCATTAACATATTACCACACATTAGAACTAATTTGAGAGCATAGAAGGTGGTGAGAAACATCAAGAACAATTCCACGACGTAAAGATCCAATTGAAGACATATTTTGGGAGATGTCAACTCTTTGTAATTCCTGTTTTCTTCTTAATATCATGTTAGGCTAGACTTTTTTGTGTTCGGAGAGCGATGAACCTTGCAATAAGATATTCAATCTTTAGTTTTACATATTTGATATTAAAGACACGATTTTGATCGTTGAATAATTTATATGATTATCTTTTCTTTACAATTATTGTGCACAGTAGTCGTATGAACTTGGTTGCTTATTTTATGCATTCTAAATAAAGAAAATAGATTGGACATAGTGTTTATTGTCATAAAATCCGATGGGTAATAGAAATATAATGCTCTACTCTATGCGAATTTTTAATTGTTCATAAAAAATCATGCACTCTTACATATTCGCATCCGTCATAGAAAGGATTGGACAAAACTCCCAAATCGGACCCGAATCGAATTGAACCGAACTGAACCGAATCGAACTATTCTTCTTAAGTTAAATGCCCGAACGAGTAACTGAATCGAAAATCGATGAGTTTTGTTCGGTTCTCGGTTCTAGATGAAGAACCAAATCTCCCTAATTTTTTTAAGTTTTTTTATCTTAAATAAGTCAAATTATTTTATTTTTAAAAATAAATTTGCTAACTCATAAATTTAGTCAAAATCCAAAATATGATTTTACTATTTCTAAATTTCAGTCAGTCCAACTTAATCGAAGTGAGTTTAGTTTTACCTAAATCCCTTATTCTACCGTAGTATTATTTCTGTCGTTCTGTTATTGTGAACTCACAATCTTCTTCTTTCTATGATTTAAACAGTGAAATCTATGAAGAACTTAATAAAGATATGTGCAAAAGATATCACGATATTGAGCAATCATATTCGAATTAATGTGGCATTGTTGTAAATATAAAAAAATAATTAAATGGAACCCAACCCGAATGATTCCATAATTAAATTTGGATCCGATGGTTCCATTTACTAAATACCTGAAAATTCGGGTTAGAATCAAACCGAACCGGACTATATCCAATCCTAATAATATAAATATAGTCGAGTCATATATAAGAGTATATTTAATTTTACTCAACAGAGCTTTTTAAATAAAATAGGAGCATTGATTCTTCATAAATAAATCTTTTTTGTCAAATTGTAAAATCAAGGTTAAAAGGGATTACTACGAGGGGATTCTTAATCCTAGTATTGTTGTCATTCATAAACATACGTAAAACTTGCATTTAGTATAATTTTCATGAAGCCTAGCTTATTTAGTTATAATTGTATACTTAGATAATTTTAGTTATAATTTAGTCAGAAACACAACCATTACTTTAAAATTGTTTCGGTTAAGGTCACATTACTTAAAATTGAATTAAACCAATCTCTATTGGAACGATACTTGGACTCACATACACTAAAATACTTGTTAATGAACCGTACACTTG